AAGGAAGAAAGGAGGGAAGGAAGGGAGAAAGAAAGAAAGAAAGAAAGAGAAAGAAAGAAAGAAAGAAAGAAAGAAAGAAAGAAAGAGAAAGAAGGAAGGAAGGAAGGAAAGAAAGAAGGAAAGAAAGAAAAAGAAAGGAAGGAAAGAAAAGAAAAAAAAGAAAAGAAAAAAAAAGAAAAGAGTAACATTCTTGCACACATCTCTTGGTAAACAGAAGCTCTCCTTGCTGGGCTGTTCATACCCAGGCATGGAATTGCTACATCCAAGGTCAATTTCAGTAGGCTACTGCCAGGTTGCAAACAGTTTTATCAACTTCTATTCCCCCCACAGTATCTGAAAGTTTCAGCTGCTCTGTTTTCACTGACATGTGATCTTGCCAGACCCTTTGATTGTAGCCTTTCTGCTTGGGTGTCTTTGTAAATTTACACTTCACATTCTTCTGATTCCCTATAGGCTCTAAGTATTACTGTTTCCCTGGATTTAGTTATAGTAATTATTAGTAGTACATAACTGATGGAAACAACACTTGTGCCTCCTCCCTACCACCACCCTTGCTTCAGGAACACTCCTTTAGACAACTCACTATTGTATTGGAAACAATGGGTAGTGGAAGGGGGCCCATAGAGTGAGGTCTTTGCTTTGTCATTCTGTCTCTGATGCCTTTCCCAACACTCTGCACACAGTAGGTGCAAAACATTGTATAAGGACATGAAAGTATGATATGAAAGCCTAATTGCAACTCACTTTGTGAGCCATTCCCAACCACTGGAGGGTAAGCAGGGGTCTTACTCCTTTTAGGCCTTAGATCCAGCACTGGAGAATCCTTAATTTTTTTAATTTTTAAGTAATCTCTACACCCGACATGGGGCTCAAATCCACAACCCCAAGATCAAGAGTTGCACACCACTGACAGAGCCAGCCAGGTGCCCCACGGAGAATCCTTTAATAAATAATGTTTGCGGGCTGCCTTGGTGGTTCAGTGGGTTAAAGCCTCTGCCCACGGTTCAGGTCATGATCCCAGGGTCCTGGGATCGAGCCCCGCATGGGGCTCTCTGCTCAGTGGGAAGCCTACCTCCCCGTCTCTCTCTGCCTGCCTCTCTGCCTACTTGTGATCTCTGTCTGTCAAATAAATAAATAAAATAAATAGATAGATAGATAGATAAATGTTTGCTACACCAAACCGGCCTCTGGAGGCCGGGCATTTTAGCCTGTGCCCCCTGCCTTGCCTCTCAGAGCCTCAGGCCATTAAGCCTGGGCACCCATCATGCACACACAGTGATGACAGTCCTATTGTTACAACATCCTTCAGACCATTAGTTATTATATTGCACATTATTACACTATCGCAACATGGGGCAGATCTTGGCACACTGGGCAGGAACGTGATGGTGTGAAATCTTGTTTTAAATGGGGTCCCCAGCTCCAGACATGCAAACAGCTGTGGGTCATGAGCAAGAGTAGGAAACTTCTAGGTCTGGGGCTCAGGGGTCACAGCGTTCCCTTGCACGTTCTCCTCTGGTCCTTGCTCCCTCCCAGTCTTGCAGACTAGCTATACATTGGGTCAGAACGGTGCCCCTTGCCTAGGGCTGAGGACTGAGCGAGTTGATCTCTGTAAAATGCTTAGTCCAGCGCCTGGCACACAGCAAGGTATAGGGTAAGCAGCAGCCCTGTGTATTACTATCACCGTCACCAGCTGCTGCGGGAGTGCGGAATGCCGGGGGACTGTGCCCAATACCAAGTATAAGCCTCATGGCCCTAGGCTACAGGGAAGAAAGCAGAAAGGTGAGCAGAGGGGAAACATGGGATTTTCATCCATGGAGACTAGTCACTTCTAGCACAGATTAGACCAGGAATGCCAAACACTACTTTCCCTGGGGGAAGGTGAGGACAATTCACAGAGAGCAAGTGACCTCAAGGCCTGAATGACTCCATTCCTAGGAGACTCCTGGAAGAGCAAGGGACAGACTGTGAAATTTGAATCCAGCCCAGATAGGTCATTTCTGCCTCCTGGAAGGGTTCTATCAGAGCCTGGCAGAGGCCCCTGATGTAATGGCAAGCTGCCACTGGACATACCCAGATGTCGCCTCTCTGGGACAGGAGCGTAGCCAGACCCCTCCAAGGACCTTGTCCATGGAGGCACCCCCTTTGGTCTCCTCTCACTAAAATGGGAACCCAATGCTGCTCACTCTTTGAACTGCTTCACATGGGATTTCCCCCACAGAGACCAAGCAACTAAGAAGGGAATGCCTAATGCTGCCTCGGGAGGAAACAGAGGGCCTTTATCAAAAATTCTCCCAGCTGAGGCGCCTGGGTGGCTCAGTGGGTTAAGCCGCTGGCTTCGGCTCGGGTCATGATCCCAGGTCCTGGGTTCAAGCCCCGCATCGGGCTTTCTGCTCAACAGGGAGCCTGCTTCCTCCTCTCTCTCTGCCTGCCTCTCTGCCTACTTGTGATTTCTCTCTGTCAAATAAATAAATAAAATCTTTAAAAAAAAAAAAAAAATTCTCCCAGCTGATATCTCCACTGCTTCTTCATTTGATAGCATAGTTTTGCCTGTTTTTTTTTTTTTTAAAGATTTTGTTTATTTATTTGACAGACAGAGATCACAAGTAGGCAGAGAGGCAGGCAGAGCCCGACGCAGGGCTTGATCCCAGGACCCTGAGACCATGACCCGAGCCAAAGGCAGAGGCTTAACCCACTGAGCCACCCAGGTGCCCCAGTTTTGCCTATTCTTTTTTTTTTTTTAAACATTTTATTTATTTGAGAGAGAGAGAGACAGTGAGAGAGAGCATGACCGAGGAGAAGGTCAGAGGGAGAAGCAGACTCCCCGTGGAGCTGGGAGCCCCATGCGGGACTCGATCCCGGGACTCCAGGATCATGACCTGAGCTGAAGGCAGTCGCTTAACCAATTGAGCCACCCAGGCGCCCAATTTTGCCTATTCTTAAACAAGGAAGGAATAAATGGTGTATGATGGTAATTAAAAAAAAAAAAAAAGATTCTCCCAGCCAAGTGTGCCTCGCCCCTTGGTTTTCTGCACTCCTCAGTCTCTGAGTAATAAAAGGAATGAGTACAGGAAAAGGGGAAATCCGGCAGGGATGAACAAGACTGGCCACGAGTTTGTAATTGTTGAAGCTGGATGTTGGGCATGGGCTGAGGGGGGGAGGGGGCGTGTTTTCATTCTATTTTCTCTTACATTTATTTCTGATATACATTTTCTTATGTTCTATTTTGTATTTGAAAGTTTTTCATAATAAACAATGTTTCTTGAAAGAATCTGTGAATAACCCAAAGCCCGGGAGGGTAAGGGCCAACTTCTTGATCTCTTACCAGAAATCCCCCCTAACTTGGATGAAATCTGAGTGTATCCAGCAAGGAAAATAAGGTGAGGGCACGGCACTGGTCTGGCTTCGGTAGGTCATCAAACAAGGTCTATGTTTTCCACGGGGAGAGAAGCCGTGGTGGCTCTTGGGTTTTGAGGAAAATGTTTCAGCGGGAGAGAGAAGGTGAAGAGGGACTGATAAGTATACTCTGACGGCTGCTGAATCTGCCCCAACCGACTGGGACTTGGGACGGCACTGGGCCTTTGGCCCCACCCCAGCCTTTTCCCTGAGGTGAAGTGTGTTCTCCCAAACCTCCAAGGATAGGTGGCTGGGCCCCACACTGGGGGCAGACGTCCTCTCTCCCTTCCTGGGGTTCTGGCCTCCACATGGTCCAGGTCATGGTGATGGGGGTAACCTATCTGTATCACCCTCCTATACACCCCCTCCTGCGGCTGAAAGCCACACTCCAAACCCAGGATTCCTGAAATCAGACACATCATATCAACTATCCCAAGACGTCGCCTGGCCATAGGCCTCATTACTCTGACCAATTCCCAACTCTGCTTGAAGTTGGCATTTTAGAGGCCTTTGGTTGACAAGAGCCAAAATAGGCCTGCTGTTTCAGGCCAGATCAGGGCTCCTAGGCAGCATCAGGTGAAAAGTGCCTCGTAGGTCCCTGAATGATTCCTATGTACCTTACCAAAAAGTGTCTCCCACATGGCTGGTCACTGTTTGAAATTCCACCAACAAAGTAGCATCCTTTGGGACTATACATTGCTTTCTTGAGATAATATTTTCCAAAGCTACCCTGGGAAAATCACACATTAAAACTATACTGGTGCATGAACTGTTTACTGACCCGGGTATCTGAGAGCAAGGGAGAGCACAGAGGGCTGGCTAAGAGCAAGGGTGACAGGGAGTGGTCTAGACAGCTTGGGTAGGGACCTCTCCTAGTTTCAGGGTGCAGGCTGTTGGGTTCAGAATGAGGGTTGAAAAGATGATGAGGGGCACCTGGGTCGCTCAGTCGTTAAGTGTCTGTTCAGCCCAGGTCATGATCCCAGGGTCCTGGGATTGGGCCCTTCTCCCTCTCCCACTCCCCCTGCTTCCTGTGTTCCCTCTCTCACTGTTTCTCTCTGTCAAATAAATAAAATATTAAGGAAAAGTTTAGAGGGAAAGAGACAGGTCACTCAAGGTAGAGGTCACTGAAGCCACCTACAAAGCAAGGCTGTAGCAGCCAAAGCAGGGTCGAGAACCTACCAGCTGACAGTTTGGGGGTACCTCCCCAGGAGCTAGCCTTTGTCTCTTGCAGAGCACAGGAATGGAAGTGACTCCGGAGTTCCAGAAATGGCTGCCTGAAAAAAAACCCATGAAGATACTCCCCAATCCATCTGGCTGCTGGAGAGGCACCCCAAGCCTCACCCTGCACAGCTGCCCCAGTGGGCGTGCCTCCTTTCCCACCAGCCAGTGACTCAGTGCACAGGACGAAGGAGGCTGGGAGGGGAGGCTGTAGGGTCTGAATCTGCCTTGTAATGTGTAGCCGAGCGTTCCAGCCCCTCCGTTTATAACAACATATACCCAACCCTTAATAAATGCCAGGAACCATTCTAAGATTGGTGTAGATAAACTCATTTAATCCTCACAACACTAGAAGATCTATTTTTTTATACAAAGAATAAATGTATTTCATCCCCATTTTACAGCTGAGGAAACAGAGGCACAGAGAGGTTAATCAAGAGCGCAGAGGGACAGAGCACAGAGTGAGTGAAAGTTAAGAGTGGGGTACAGGCCCACCCTACACTACAGAGCAGCACCCGTACTCACTGGGCACTCTGCCTCTGCTACCCTCATGTCTACCAGGCGGCACAGGGGAGAGGTAGGGGAAGCTGTCAGTGTTTACTGACTCTGGGTCAGGCACTTGACAAACACCTGTGTGCTTCAATCTCAGAAGAACCCAGTGGAGATGCACCATGATACTCACTGTCCATGTGGGGAAGCAAGACCAGAGAAGTGTGACCATCTGCCAAGGCCACACAGCCCAGGAAGGGGTGGAGCTGAAATCCAAACCTTGGTCTGAGCTCTGCCTGGCAGGCCTCTCCTCCCCAAATTCGCCCCCCTCCCAGCTAAAGAGCATGGAGACCAGAAGGGAAGGAAAGGAAGAGGGGGGTGAGGAGGCTGGAGAGAGGCTTCAGAGGCAGTTCTTACCCGAGCAGCTTACATTCCCCAGGGTCCAGGAGAATGTCTGGACCTCCTCCACCTCTTGAGGGACCACAAGCAGCCATGTCCCTGGAGATGGACCACCCTGATGCTCCTGGAGCAATGGCTGGGCTTTTGGGGTCTGGAGCAAGGTCCTGTGGAGGTCTGCCCCGCCCCACTGCTGCTGCTGCACATCTGCTAGCCACCCAGCACAGGGGCAGGATGGGGGGCATTGCCAACCAGTGGTACCTCCTGATCTGTGGACTCAGACAAATGGGTATACAGCCTAGATGGGCGTACCTCACCTCCTCCAGAGAATGAAGGTAATAATCCAGATTGCAGGGTAGGCAAGGTCTGTAGCACATGGAGAGGGCATGAGCTGGGACAGAAATGTGGCCTGAGGCCCCCTGGCTCCCCTCTGACCCAGGCTCCACCAGCCCCACAAAAGGGACAAGGCAGGAAGACAGCACAGTCCGTGCTTGGGCTGGATGTCCTCTGGGAAAGGGAGCAGATTCCTAGCACAGAGGGCCCAGGGGCTTCACTGGAGCAGGCGCCGCCTGTAGACCACTGTCAGGAACAAGGCCAGGAATACCCCAGTAGCAGCTACCCTGAGCCATGGAGCCCAGGCGCTGACCTGGATGTAATCCTCCTCCCCCAGGGGCTCCGGGGTGGCACGCGGCCCAGGATTACCCTCCAGCAGGTCGACGCTGGGGTCCTGGGTCACTTGGATCCTAATGGAATCCACCGACTGGTACTCGTTCTCCTCTGGGGCATTGTCAGGCCCCGCGTCCAAGGACTTGCTGTAGCTGAGGGCCAGGTCCGCAGAGCAGCCCGAGAACGGCTCACTGTCCACCCGGGAGGCCAGACAGCCTGGCTTGCTCAGCTCCAACTCAGACTCCCAGCCAGAAGAGCTGGGGTTTGGCTCAGGCAAGCTGTCTCTGGTGGAGATGGTGATCCCTGGAGCTCCTGCAGTCTCCTGGGAAAGAAAGGAGGGGCTGGAAGGGCCTGGGGATGGCAGGGAGACGGCCAAGTTGCATGGCCCTATTTCCAGCCAGGCCATGAACTAGCATTCCAACTCTCCAATTCCCAGCCTGTAGTCTGGAAAGGAAGCCGCCACCTCTTGGAGACTCAACCCACTGATGGTAAAGGAGGGCATTGGGGGAGGAGGGGACCAAGGCTCTGCTGGCTGGGGTACCAGTGGTGACTTCCTCCAACGTACCCCTCTTGCTACTCACTGGCCTGCCTGTGAGATCACCCCCACCCTCCTGGAGCCCTTGGTGGCTATGGCCCCATCCTACTCTGACATTCTGCCTGGGCGGAAGGCCATGGAGCAGCCACAGCATCAGAGCCCTGCCATGGGCCTAAAGGGTCCCCTGGACTTGGTTGCTCCAGGCAGACAGCAGCTGTAGGGCTGCCCCAAGGGAGCAGCCATGAAGGGGAGGGGCACTGCTGTGTCAGTGCGGCTACCTCCAGCAGGTTAGTCCCATCTAAGACTGTAGTCAGTAAGGACTGGCTCATGGTGGGGCAGACTGGATATCCCAGTGGTAAGGAACAGGGCACTGAGGCAGGCAGGCCGCCCCGTGCTGCCCCTCATTGTTCAGTCTGCAACACACACTACTGAGCTCCATGGGGAGCTGCGAGCTCTAAATGGGCTAAGGCACATGACCAGTGGGGGTGGCCATCATGCCCAACCCTCCTGAGGCATCCACACTCAGGGGCTTGAAGGATTATTATTACTCTAAAGGTCGTGATGTGGGGTCTAGAAGAGGCTAGATCTCAGCTAGCCCTACACCCTCGAGGAGCAGTGCTGGGACATCCCAGGCTAGAGACGGACTGGAGACTGGAAAGGGTCCAAGGACAGGGCTAGGGGGAAAAGCCTGGATCACTGCTGGACAGGGCAAGGACTCACCCCTGAGGGTGTGTGGCTCCTGATGGTGGGCACAGTGCTGGCGGGCACCTTGCTGGGCACCATGCTCGTGGACATCCTGGGCTCGGGCACCAAGCCTGTGGGCACCCTGGGTGCTGCTGTGCCAGCACGCACTGAGTTGATGGGTAGTTTGGACGGTGGCAGACTTGTGAGCACATTAGTGGCTACTGTCCCTGAGGGTTTTGAGCTGGCAGGCAACTTGGAAGGCACTGTTCTGTCAAGTGCTGAGCTGGCAGGAACCCTGAAGGACGCAGTGCTGGTGGTCAGCGAGCTTGTGGACACCCCAGCCCCCGCGGAGCAGACGCCGGCCTTGCGGTGGTCACCAGCAACCCCGGCACAGGCCAAGCCCGTGGACGAGGAGGAGGTGCCAGCAGATGGCACTGACACAGAGGGTGCAGGCAAACGGCTCGCCCTGTGGGTGGAACGGGTCAGGGGCTGGAAGGAGACAGATGGAGACACAGGCCCACGGGATGAGGGGAGGCTGGAGGCCGTGCCTGCAGGGGACAAAATACAAGGGGAGACACAAATCACAGGACCATTACTCTAAAATCACAGTCACCCTGGGATCAGAAGGCTGAAGAGCCACTGTGCCCTAGCTCAAGTACCTACTGCCTCCAGGCCCCCCAACTTCTTACCCAGGGAATCTCCACAGTCCCTTTGGTCACTGCGCCCAGGCCCGGGGGGTCCAAGAGATGCAGGCACATCCTTGGTCCTATATATCCTTAGTCCTTGACCTAAAGCTGAGTCTTCTAAGAGTGAAATGGTCCCTCTCCCTAACAGCATCTAGGAGCTTAAAGATCACTCATTATCCTCTGCTCTTTCTTCTCCTGCCTGGGACACCCTCCTTTCCTCCTGTGTCTGCTCCTTAGCTTGGGGGAAATTCTGGATGCTCCTCCCTCTGCCACCTTCCCCTCCCCGCCCATAGGAGCAATTCTGGACCAGGCAGAAGAGCTCCCAGCAGTCGCAGGGCACCAGAGGCCCAGCCAGCCCCCAGGGTGCGCAAATCTCCTAGGAGACCTATGGACTCCAGGGCAAAGGGTGCAGGGACCAAGCCACCCCTGACACGAGGGCTTGAACTGGAACAAGCAGGAGGAAGCAGGTGGTGACAGTCCATAAAGGCTTTCCCTGTGGAACTCTGAGAACACACATGCCAGGCCCTACAGTTGACAAAGGCCAGGAGTCATTCTGATGTACCACCTGGCTCCCTGCAATCTAACACACAACACAATCTTGTGGGACCTGTATCCGTGCAGGGACTGAAATCTAAGTGCCCTTTGCCTCCCTGGTCCACATCAGCGTCTCCTGCAAGGTGTTTTATGGCAAGTTGACATTGCAAAGTATAAACAGGTGCTGGGGGAAGAACTCTAGGGTGGCAGGAGGGTAGGGCACTAAAGTGGCTTCTCTGAGCCTGTAACTGTTCATGTGCCTTGTGGCTGTCCCAGGGGCCCCAAACGCGGGGCAGGCCACAATGTTCCATGGAATGCAGTTTGGGAAATAATGATGCAGAGAAATGCCAGCCTGGGAGGTCAGAATGGACCTCTTCTATATTCCCAAGAAGGAGTGCTGAGATCTGGTTTGGGGTCCAGGCCCTTACCTGATGAAAATCATACTTCCTCTGGGGACTGAGAAGTTTTAGTGATTCCCCAGGAGCTAGATCCCCATTTGGGGTAGGGCAGTGCCCACGGGCTCCCCTGCTGGTAGCTGGCCGAGGCCTTCTGCACTGTCCTCCAGCTCCTGGAGAACCCCTGCAGAGTCACTCCTCTTGGTAGAGTCCCAAAATAGCCCTAATCCTCTTCCCTTACCTGTATCCACACCCTCTGCAATGTGACTGTCAGTCGTCTCATCTAGGGATGAAGTCTATTTCCTGACTCCTTGACTCTGTGCTGGCCTCCGTGACCTGCTTTGGCTCACAGAATGAGGCAGGATGAACACTGCCAGGTTGAGTCTTTGCCCAGGAGCCCGCTTTCTCAGAATTCTGCTCAGCTGCCATGAAACAGACTTGTCTGGTGAAGGACGAGGACTAGCTGAAGAGAACCAAGGTGCCCAGCCGCCAGGCATAAGCAGAGCGTACGTGTGTGTGGGCATCAACGTGTATACAATTGGGAATTGTATACAACGTGTATACAAAAGGGAATTCAGCCGAGATCTGAAGAACTACCCTGAACCAGCCCAAATTGCTAACCCACAGCATCATGAGCTAAATTGTTATATTTTAAGCTACTAAATGTTGGAACAGTTTGCTACACAGAAAATATGGATATGCCCTCTAAGGAACTGAGTTGCTCCCTGAGGTAAACTCCCTTTATTCCCACTCTTGCCTCCTGTCCAAGGAAGCCAGGGGGGCAACTCTAAGTCTTTACCCTCACTGGGAGGTTGGAGAGGCCCCAGAACTCCAGATTCCACACATACCTGGTGTGTGGGCACCGCCTAGTTCTGTGTCCTGCTCTTCATGTCCACTGGAGGTCAGAGGGCTGAAGGCCGCCATGTCAGAGGACGATTCCAGGGGGCCAGCTGGCCTCCTCAGGACAGCCCCAGGATGGGGCATCTGTGGGACCTTCTTTGAACTCTGCAAGAGGGAAAATATAAATGAGGCAATTGCTTTTCCCAGGAGTGGGCATCTCCTACAGGTCTCAGCCCATAGCACGGAGTACAGAAACTGAGGAAGCCCCTAGCCCTGGCTTTGGTCATTGCCAGACCCTGTCTACAGGAACCTACCTCACCAAAAACACACACCGTCCCATGGGGAGTCTCTATTCATCTGCCTTGCCCTGTAAAAGGTTCCCCTCTCTGATGCTATTGCACAGACCCCTTTCTTGGGCTTCAAGTTCATGGTCTGGCCTCTCCTGGACATCCCAACAGAATCAGCCATTTCCGCCCTGAATCAGCTTTACTGGCAGTAAGTACTCCAACCACCCCCTTACCTCCTGCTTCCCCAGTACCCCTCCGCTGTTCATTCCCTGGTCCCTCAATCTACCTCATCTCGTCACATAAACCACTGCAAAGACCACAAAACTGTGGCTTCACAGCTGGCTGGTAAGAGGATTGAGCATTGCCACAGGGTAAAGCCCGGCTCAGCAGTCTGAAAGCTGGTTTGGAGCCTACCTCCACTGAGGGAGCCCTGAGGTTCCGAGCAGAGATTAGACATGGTTTGTGGTTGGGAGAGAAGAGAGCTTCTAGAAGCTGGACAGACAGGAACACAAAAGCAGGAGGCCCAAAGTAGACTGTGAGGACACACCTCTTCCGGGGACTCTGGTGGCTGGGTGTCCTGGACTGACAAGGGGAAACTTGGCTCCTCCTCTCTGTAGCCATTGTGGGGGGCACTGGGGGCCACAGCAGGTCTAGAGGACCGTGGAACCTCAGCAGGAACTAACTGTGGCTCCACTGGGGCTGGAGGCCGGTTCCGGACCCCTGGAGGCAAAGATAGAGTGATGTCAAGGGGGAATCATGGATGCTCCCAGTGACAGGAAAGGCCTGCGTGTTCCTGGACCCCCGGGTCAATGACTATCAGCCCCCACCCCCAGCTCCCAAAGCTGTCCTGATGTAGGATGTACTTAGAAGAGACAAGACTCATTGAGTGGGAGGCAGTAGCAGGAGGAAGAGAGGAAGGTAGGGAGGACAAAAATAAGGAGAGGTAGAAGGAGTAGGGTGGGAGAGGTTGGGGGGAGCATGGGGGGCACTCCACAAGCCTCTCACAACCCAGGCTGGGTCAGCGGTCACCACTTCTCTGTCCCCTGTCATTCTGGAACCCAGTGGCTTTCTCCTCCTCTTTGTTGGTGGCTGTCACCATTAACTGACCCCTCAGAAAGAAGGACGGAAGGGAGGGAGGGAGGGAAAGAAAAAAAGAAAGAAAGCAAACAGGAGGCTATTCTAAGGCTGTAAATCTAGTAAGGGTCTCAGCAGTTGTCTCTAGTCTAAAACATAAATAGGGCTGGCTTGAGTTTTCTTCCTGTTTTGATCCTTCAGACCTGACCTCACCAGACCCCTCTGGCCACTTGGCCCGGCAGGGTAACTGGGCAGCTGGGGTGGAGGACTGAGAAAACTCCAGGGGAAGCAAGGGGGAGAGGAAGAGATGAAGGAAAGGAAGGAAGGAACCCATGAGGAAGAAAGAGGAGACAGTGAAGGGGGAAGGGAAGAGAAGAGAGGAGTAGAGTAGAGTGGAGAGAAGGCAGTCAACTGAAAGACAAGAGGAAGTGAGAAAGAGGAGGGAAGCAAATGTCACAGCCACAAAAATGAGAGGAAGTCCCATCTCCTGAGCACATGGGAGGTGTCCAGTCCCACAACCATCATCTCGTGGTACCCACCACAGTCCTACAATGTAGATGTCTGGCCATTAGTCCCATTTTACAGAGGGGAAGACTGAGGTTTAGAGAAATTAAGGGACTTGGCCGAAGGGACATGGCTAACAAGAAGCTAAGCTGTGATCCGCACCCAGGTTTGTCTATTGCCTGGGAGTCGTGGGAGGGAAAGTGACAGAGGGATGCAGGAGGTACAGAGGTAAGGGGAGAGGCTGAATGGAGGCCAGGGGAACCAACAGGGGTTCCACAAGGAGGGCCACAGCAGGAAGCTCACCGGGCAGGTTGCTGTGGTAGATGCGAGCCACCTCGTCAGCAAGATCCACCAGCTCACAGGCCCTCAGTGCACTGATGAGGGACTCCACCCAGCCGATCCGCCGCCGAAGGCTGTTGAAGAGCTCCCAGAGGGTGCCCTGGTTCCCAGAGAGCTGGCAAGAGGCCCGCAGTCGGTCCTGGAAGACACAGCCAGCTGCCCTGCTCAAGCCAGGGGGCCCTGGCCCCTTCCCCACTCAGGAGGGGACAGCTGCAGAGAGAGGCTCCAAGTAGCCACAAGAGTGAGGCAGCCATCTGAAACTCGGTCAGAGCCCAGGACAAGGCCAGTGTTTGGGCCCAAGTTTAAAGGCGGTTACCAGGAAACAGGTTCTTACTGTGTGCCAGGCCCTGTGCTCAGGATGCTGCGAGCTATTGTCCCAACTCTACTGGTGAGGAAACAGAGGCTTAGCAGATATAAGGTAATAAAGATCCTACGGACAGATCCTAGTTAGTCCTTCACCAAAGCCTGGGGTTTGTTCAGGCAGCCCCGAAGGCAAAAAGAAAGGGTTTGGATTAGCAGCAGAGGAAAGGGTACGGAGGGAACAGAAGATGAAAAGGAGGTAAAGGGACAGAGAGAGGAAGCCAATGCTAAGAATTAGGAGGCTGGGGGGTTGGGAGACTCTGATAAGGAGTCTCAGGGCAGAGGAGGTTTTATGGTGAATTCCCACATGCAGACGGGCAACCAGAGAGCAGAAACGAAGACCCACAGGAAACATATCCTGCAGAACTAGTCACGAGGTATCCCCACAAGCCCCCAAATCCAAGGGAGGGGGCCCAAATCCCAACAGCCACAGGCCCGCACCACCACCAGCACAGCCGCGTGGTGGCAGCAGAGAGCCGGTGCCACTGGGAGCAGCTAGAACTGGGAGGCGGCCAGCCCCACTTCACTTGGGGCCACAGCCAGTTCTGAAAGGCTAGGGCAGCCTGGCTCCCGCAAGCTCTCAAAACTGAGCCCTGGGCTCCCTGTCAGGACAGGGTCCCGTGATAAGGTGAATGGAGTCAACACTGAGCAGGAACAATGACAAGAGACGACGTCAAGGAAAGTCCCGAGGGAAGCACGTGAGGGGACCAAGGCCCAGACATCTCAGGCAGCCAGCACCCTACTTTTTTAGCACTACACCGTATGGACGCGAGAGGGAGCTCAGCCACGTGGGAAAAGGCCAGCCTGAACCACACTTTATTCTGCAAGTTAGAGAAGCATCAAGGTCAAGAAGCAGGATGCAGAAGTTGGAGAAGGAAGGAGTTGGCCCTGGCTTTGGGGGGGAAGCTCTGAGCCCCATGCCCCTGCACCAAGTCAGTCAGAGTCCCATGCCCCCAGCTCACCTGGTCACTTGTGGTGAGGCAGGACAGGTAAGGCAGTATCTCCAGAACATGAATGCGGTCAACAAAATTGCTGTAATGGTGGCGGATATACTCGTAAGTCTTTTCCTCGGCAAACGTCATCGCTGTCTAGGTTCTGAAGTGACGGAGGGTTCTGGCCCATAAAAGGACAGATGGAGAGGGGGGGTAGAAAGGCTGGAAAAGAAAGCATACCACGTATAGTAACAGAGTTGGGAATGGGGTGGGACAAAAGGCAATGACTCCTTTCTTTCTCAATTCTCTGGAGTGCTTGCTTCTTTCTTTAATCGTCTAATTTTATTACTGCCTGAGTCCCAGAGGCCCTCAAGAAATTTGCTTAAAAATGAACTGATGACCAGGGCGCCTGGGTGGCTCAGTGGGTCAAAGCCTTTGCCTTCAGCTCAGGTCATGGTCCCAGGGTCCTGGGATCGAGCCCTGCATCGGGCTCTCTGCTCAGCGGGGAGCCTGTCTCCCCCCCCACCTCTGCCGGCCTCTCTGCCTACTCGTGAACTCTGTCAAATAAATAAATAAAATCTTTGAAAAAAAATGAAGTGATGACCAAAAGAAATCAGATCCAGCTCTAGGCCCCATTTCTGCCCTGCAGGCTGGTCAGTGTTGGGGAGGGCTCTGGCTCCCTGCCAATTTCCCAAGGTCTGTTTGTGCCCTTAGCTGCTGACAGCAAGAGGGCTCCACCAAGAAGTGCTGCTTCCCTGGGATGTACCAGGAAAAAAAAAGAAAGAAAGAAAGAGAGAAAGAAAGAAAGAAAGAAAGAAAGAAAGAAAGAAAGAAAGAAAAGCCCAAAATAATAATAGGATCATCCTACTTTAAAGGTGAAGGAAACAAAGTACCAAGAAATTAAGGGGCTTGCTAGTTAGTGGAAGAGCAAAAAACGGAAGTCTTCAGGCTTCAGAATCAGGTTCTTTCTAGAACATGACTGCAAGCCCACCATTAAGGCTTGCTGCATACATGTTCTTAGGGTAGGAGGCTGGTTCCACTCACTGTGTGATCTGGGGCAAATTACCAGTCCTTTGCAGGTTTCTCTTCACCCCTAAAATGGTTTAGAGAGCTTGTTTTGACAACACAATAGTTCAACCACATAAGGTTCACATTTAGAAGTCCTAAATTACTTAGCAATTGCTACTAGGTACTAACTTGCTACTTAGGTAGCACTTACCACCATTTGCAATTATAGATGGAGTTGTCTACGAGTTTCTTACCTGCCTCCCCCCTCAGGGAGAGCTGCAGGGAATAAGAGGGACAAGATCTCTGCCATCATCCAATTTATATTCTATTGGGGTGGGACAGATAACAAATCAGTAAACATATACATAAATAAGATTTTCAGACATTAATCATAAGAAAATAAAGCAGGGTAATGAGACAGAACCCCTGGAGAAAGGTATGTTGCATGGATGGAGGTGGTCAGGGAAGTCTTTCTGAATCCCTGACATTTGAGCTGAGGCCTTCTGGGCTGTAACAAGATCAGCGCTGGGGGTGGGGGTTGGAGGGCGGCACAGCAAATTAGAAGTCCTAAGGCGTAAATGAGCTTGGCATGTTTGAAGAACAGAAAACAGGTCTGGGGGGTCCAGGTTTAGAAAGCTAGGGGGAGGGGCAGAGATCAAGAAACCAAAAAGAAAGGAAGTCCATATTTGTTCACATTTATTCACCGTTCCACTAGAGGCGGGCCCATCCTAAGTTTCTTTCATTTAGGAGAGGAGAAATGATGCCAGGTTGCACAAGATCAAGGAGGTTAGGAGAGGTGGCTCATGTGGGGTGTTGCAGGAAAGGACTTTGGGGGTTGTTTTGGGGGGGGTTTGGAGTGAGATGGGAGGCCATCAGGGGGTTCTGAGCAGGGAAGAGAGAGGCCTGAACTTTTGTTAAAGACCTCCCTGGTAGTTGTGAAAACCTGGACTGTGGAGGGGCCAGAACGGAAGCAGGAAGACAAATCAGGAGGCTAAAGGAAGGGGCCGCAGGATGGGGATGGCGGGAATGCTGCCCTTGGAGGTGGTGAGAGGTGCTTGGGTTCCTGGTGTGCTGCGGATGTGGGAAGTGAGGAAGAGAGAAGAATCAAGGATGCTCAGGTGTTGGTGGATGGAGGGTGCCATTCAGGCAGGCCAGAGAATCTGGTGGAGAAGCTGTGGTACAGAGAGGTCTCCAAAGCTCCATTTTGAACAAGTGAAGCCTAAGATGCTGTAACATGTCCAAGTAGGTTTTGTGGGAAGGAAGGGGTCAGGAGACGGAGGGTCAGGCTGGAGCAAAAACATAGGTGCCTGGCGTGGGTGGGACTCTAGGCCTCATAGCCTCATGTTATATGCCTTGCTTTGTTAGCCACCAGGGGCGACATTCCTGCTGGTTAATGTGTTAATGACAGAGGTCAAGAGGATCAAGGAGATTGGGGGGGGGGCTCCTCTGAGCCTTCAGGAGATGAGCAAAGAACAACTCTAAGGTGGCTAAATGACCCTTTCTCCTTCTCTTCCATGGCATCCAGAGAGGTACCAGGAGAGAGTCAAGTAATACATTCTTCTGCATCTGAGCCTCAGCCCTTAGGCATTAAGAGTTTGGGAAGTATGGGGACTCATGGGTGGCTCAGTGGGTGAAGCATCTCCCTTCAACTCAGGTCATGATCCCAGAGTCCTGGGATCGAGTCTGGAATCAGGCTCCTTGCTCGGCCAGTTCTCCCTCAGCCTGCCGCTCCCCCTGCTCGCTCCCTCTGACAAATAAATAAAATCTTTTAAAAAGGGGGGTGGGGTGGGTGGGGAGTATGAAGTATAGCATGCTCCAACCAAAAAGAAAGGAAGTCTATATTTGTTCACCTTTATTCACCGTTCCCCTAGAGGCGGGCCCATCCTAAGTTTCTTTCATTTAGGAGAGGAGAAATGATGCCAGGTTGCACAAGCAGACCAGTGGTCCTGTCAGGATTTGAACCCAGGACTTGCTGCCTCTTTGCAGCTCACCATAACGCCTTGCAGAATATAGGCCCTGCTGCAGCAAATGAGGCTCACAGCCCCAGAGGGATCAAGGGCACGGCTTGGGTGAGGGGAGTTGCTGGATAAGGGTGTGCCTGGGAGGCTGAAACATTTAGTCCCTTCTCTTGAAAGATCTGTAAATCGTTCAGACAAGCCCGAGTGCATTCCCTCTATGGCAGTCACGGTTCTCAGGTTGTTGACTGTACTTCTAAAAGTTTTTGAGACGCCTCAGCATGCACAGGAGAACGTCGGTTTTTTTGTTTTTTTTTTAATTTGTTTTTGTTTTTGTTTTCCCAGCATCTCCTTTCGGTCTGAGAGAAGGGCGGACCGACGCTGCGAGGAGAGCTGTCTACCCGAATGCCCCGGAGGCTCTGAGAGCGTCCCGGAAAGAAATAACCACCAGCCGAGAGGGGCGAGGCCTCTCACCAACTGGGCTCCGATTGCTGGATGGGACCGGGACCAGGCTCGCTGAGGGAGGGAGGCTGTTCTGAGCAGTTGTCACCCCGGAGAACTGTCATGGCCCCGGGGAGGAATGCGGCCCGGGACTTGTAGGCGCGGCCGCGGCCGCGGCTCCGGGAGGTTGGCGCGCCCGGGCCAGGCCTCGCCCCGGAGTCACCCTTGGCCTGCCGAGAGGCTGCAGGAGCTCCGCAGCCGGCGCCTGCCTTCTTCCCGCCCAACTTCCCCTCCAGTCCGGGCAGACGCCCCGCGCCACCCCCGGGGCTGGCTGAGGCTCGTGGAGCCCTCGCTGCGGCGAACTGCTCGTGGGCTCTTCCCCAGCCCCGCGCACCCAGTGGCGTCCCTGACCCCCGTGCGCCCCGGCGGACTCCCGAGTCCCACTCGGCTCTTGACGCCGCTGGCCACCTCCCCGAACGGGATCCGCGTGCCCTGAGCCGACGGGACAGAGGGCCCGGGACGGCTAACCTACCTCGGCTAGCCACCACTCCACGACCCGCTGACCTCCGCGGACACTCCGGAACCCTCCCCAACAGGGGAGGGGCGGGACCGCGCGGCCATTGGCCAGACGGCGGGGGCGGGGCTTCTCGGCACACCGGAGCCAGAGGGCAGCAGGTTGGGGGTGCTTGGCCTTGGCTCGGGGCCTGGACACGCCGGACAGCGCTCCCGGACCGACCTAGGTCCCCGCTGGGGCGTAGAGGATCAGATTATTTTCTTTCCTTGTTTGTCTCGAGCAACGTCCAGGGGAAATCCAGAATCCAAGTGGACGGCCGACCTCGGAGTCAGTGGTCGGCTGGGTTACCGTGGTCGGCTGGGTTACCGAGCTCCCTACGCTAAGCAATCACTCCTCCCGTCGAGTAATTTGAAGGGTGAGGGTCTTTATGTCATTTGTACCTGGGCACCTAGGACCTGGCACACAGTTAGTGCTCAATAAATATAGGGTGATACGCGAAGTTCACAGGGCGACTCCTGGGGAAGCAGGATATCGGTGGGAGGAAGCTGGGTAGGTGAGAGCTGGGCAGGGGCGATTGACTTGCCCTGCCTGCTGGGTGTGGGTCTTTAGTGCTGCGTGGGAGGCTTCTCTACCCAAGGGTCTGAGGCAGGTACCTCCCCACAGTGCTTGCCAACTGCCTGGCCCTTCCTCTGCTTGGGGCAGAAGCCAGCAATTACTGAGCCCCCACTGTGTCCCAGGTACAGGCTTAAAGTCTTACACCTTAGAGCCCACTAAATACTCTCACAATAACCAGGTTGAGGTTTATTTTTTCCCGGTTTTAAGAGATATTAAAAGATTCAGAAAATGGCAGTTCTTACTAAACTTAAACATGCCAAGTCTATCACCCAGCCACCACTCTCTTAGCCGTGTGTCCACCTAAAAATGTACAGGATACCTAGTGTTCATAGTGGCTTTGTTCGCAATAGCCAAACTCTGGAAACAACCCAAAGTTTCCCTCAGCAGGAGAATGAAGAGACCAACAGTGGTGTGCTCACATTATGGAATAGTATACAGCAGTGAAAAAGACAATCGCTCACTACGCATAACATGGATGACTCGCACCAGGATAAATGGGAACCACAGTTAACCAAGTCAAGCACAAAGAATACATCCTGTTTGTTCCTTCAGTGGCAAGGTAAGGCAAGGTTCAAAAACAGGCAAAACTCATCTACATAAATAGAAATCATTCACTGGTTACTTCTGGGTGGGTACAAGGGAACTTTTGCAGGGAATAAAAATGTTCTCTATCATTGTTTTAAAGATTTTATTCATTTATTTGAGAGAGAGAGCATGTACATGACCAGGGGGAGGGACAGGGGGAGAAGCAGACTTCTTGCTGAGCAGGGAGTCTGACATGGGGCTTGATCTCAGAACCCTGGGATCATGACCTGAGCTGAAGGCAGGCGATTAACTGACTGAGCCACCCAGCCACCCAGGTGTCCCAGAAATATTCTGTATCTTGATGTGAGTGGTGGATATATGGGCTTGTGCATATGTAAAAAATGCATCAGCTGTACAATCAAGATTGTTATACTTTATACTGCAACTTAAAAGTGAAAGACTGGGCACCTGAGTGGTTTAGTCAGTTAAGTGTCTGCCTTTGACTCAGGTCATGATCCCAGGGTAGGGAGATCAAGTCCTACCTCTGGCTCCACACTCAGTGGGGAGCCCGCTTGAGGTTCTCTCTCTCCTCTGGGGCTGGGGGAGGGGTGGGGGGTGAGGAGGGTAGGGAGGTGGGGGGTGCTTTGGCAGAGATCACATGCAAATGCCTGAGTACACACCTATCTTAAAAGTCAATGCTCCCAAACTAAGCCACAGGAAAATGCCTGAACACTTTTTAGATGAGATTTTATTTATTAGTAACCCTGTGGATATTTCACAACATTCAGCATTTACAAAATGTTATTATCACACCTGAACTCAACTAACTGTAATAAAGCCAGTATGCCTTGTTTAGCCAAGACAGGGTGAATGTCAATTGGTTCAAGAATTCTTCTTGCCTGCTACCTACTCCAATCCATGACCTCATATCTAATTCTTGCAGGAAGAACACGGGAGGGGCACCTGGGTGGCTCAGTGAGTTAAAGCCTCTGTCTTCGGCTCGGGTCATGATCTCAGGGTCCTGGGATCGAGCCCTGCTTCGGGCTCTCTGCTCAGCGGGGAGCCTACTTCCCCTCTCTCTCTGTCTGCTTCTCTGCCTACTTGTGATCTCTCTCTCTGTGTGTCAAATAAATAAAATCTTAAAAAAAGAATATGGGAGTGTGACGACTGGCTTCCAAATGCAGTTTTCACCCCTGTCTCTACCCTTATATTAGGAAAAATAAATAAATAAAACACAGCTTTCTCAAAAACACAATGAGATACTATCTTAGCCCATTTGGGCTGCTGTCTGGGAGACCCAGACAACAAACACTTATTTCTAATTCTGGAGGCTGGGAAGTCCAAGATCAAGGTGCCAGCAGATTTGGTGTCTCATAGACGCTCACTTGCTACTTCAGAAACACAGTCTTCTTGCTGTCCTCACATGATACTTCCATCATGTGAGCAAGGGAGATCTCTGGGTCTCTTTAAAAGAGCACTAATGGGGCGCCTGGGTGGCTCAGTGGGTTGGGCCGCTGCCTTCGGCTCAGGTCATGATCTCAGGGTCCTGGGATCGAGTCCCGCGTCGGGCTCTCTGCTCCGCAGGGAGCCTGCTTCCCTCTCTCTCTCTCTGCCTGCCTCTCCGTCTACTTGTGATCTCTGTCAAATAAATAAATAAAAATCTTTAAAAAAATTAAAAAAAAAATTTAAAAAAAATAATAAAAAAAAAAATAAAAGAGCACTAATTTGGAGCACCTGGGTGGCTCAGTGGGTTAAAGCCCCTGCCTTCCGCTCAGGTCATGATCCCAGGGTTCTGGGATCAAGCCCTGCATCCGGCTCTCTGCTCAGCAAGGAGCCTGCTTCCCCCGCTCTCTCTGCCTGCCTCTCTGGCTACTTGTGATCTCTGTCTGTCAAATAAATAAATAAAATCTTAAAAAATAAAAAAATAAAAGAGCACTAATTTGATTCATAAGTGCTCCACCCTTGTGACCCAAATCACCTCCCAAAGATACCACCTCCAAATACCATCACCTTGGGGATTGGATTTTAAAATATAAATGGGGGGGGCATAAACATTTGGTCTATAGCAGATACAAACCTTTAGGATGGCTACTATAAAACCAACAAACAAGAAAATAACAAGTGTTGGCAAGGAGATGGAGAAACTGGAACCCTTGTACATTACGGGTACGAATGTGAAATGCCACAGCTGCTATGGGACAGGATGGCTGTTTATTGTGGTGTAACATACACAGAACATAAAATTTAACATATTCTAACCACTGGTAAGTGTACAGTTCTCTGGCAGTATTCACACTGCTGTGCAGCCATCGCCACCGTCCATTTCCAGAACTTTTTCATCTTCTCCAACTGAACCTCTCTACCCATTAAACACTAAGTCTTCACTCTCCATTGCTCCCCAGCTCCTAGAAGCTCCTATGCTACTTTCTGTCTCTAGGAGTTTGACTGTTCTAGAGAGCTTATGTAAATGGAATGATACAATATTTGTCATTTCGTGACTGGCTTATTTCATGTAGCATAGTGTCTTCAAAGTTCATCCCTGTTATAGTATGTGTTAGAATTTCCTTCCTTTTGAAGGCTGAATAAGATTCCATTGTATGGATAGACCACATTTTGTTTATCCATTTGTCTACTGCTTCTACCTTTGGCCAGTTGTGAATAATGCTGCTGTGAACGTGGAGGTACAAATATCTGTTGAAGTCCCTGCTTTCGTTTCTGTGGGTATACCTCCAGAAGGAGACTTGCCGGATCGTATGATAATTCTATTTTTAAATGGGAAAATGGGTGGAGAGGTTCAGTTGGGGAAGATGAAAAAGTTCCAGCAATGGATGGTGATAATGGCTGCAAAACAATGAATGTTCTTAATGCCAGGGAACTGCACACCCCACAATGTTTAGAATGGTATGTTACCACAATAAAAATCCTGGCCTACATGGTCTCCTGCCACCTTTGCCTGGGACCCTAAGGAGAGCATATCATCTCATCTATGCTATTCTTGCCAAAACTCATAATCTGAAGCCAATCATGGGGAAATGTCAAAAACCCCAAATGTGGGCCATTCAAGAGGTGTCTCATTCCATATAGTAGACACTTTGCACCATAGCCATTTCCCACAAATTAAGGTATTGATGTAAAACTCAGTTACTCAGCCCCACGAGCCACATTCTAAATGCTATTTTTATATATGGCTAATGCTGCCACAGTGTACAGCACAGATATTGTGTGTTTCTCTCATTGCAGAAAATTCTATCGGAGGGTTTTAAAAAAAGGTATGCCGGACAGCACTGACCTACAGAATAACTCTCCAAAAATGTCAAGGAAAGGCTGAGGAACTGTTCCTGATTAAACAAGAATAAAGAGATAGAACAACTGAAAGCAATGGGAGATCCTGAATTGGACCCTGAAAGAGAAAAAAGGACATTGGTGGGACAAATGTGGAAGGCTTACTAAGACTTTGGATTAGTTAATAATACTCCATCCGTGTTAATTTTCTGGTCTTTATCATTGTACTGTGGTTATGTAAGATGTAAACATTTTATTATTTTTGCAACTGTTTTGTAAGTCTGAAATTATTTCAAAATGAAAAATTTTTAAGTAAAATAAAATGTAAAGCCATCCCTATCTTGCTATTTATATTATTGTACCTTTTACAGTTGACTGCGTTCCACCCTATTTCATGAGTAGATTGCATTTTGGGGGCTTTTGAAGTTTTTATTTAAATTCCAGTAAGTTGGGGCGCCTGGGTGGCTCGATGGGTTAAAGCTCTGCCTTTGGCTCAGGTCATGATCTCAGGGTCCTGGGATCAAGCCCCGCATCGGGCTCTCTGCTCAGCAGGGAGCCTGTTCCCTTCCTCTCTCTCTGCCTGCCTCTCTGCCTACTTGTGATCTGTCAAATAAATAAATAAATCTTTAAAAAAAATAAGTAAATTCCAGTTAGTTAACATACAGTGTAATATTAGTTTCGGGTGTACAATATAGTGACTCAGCACTTCCATACGCCACCCAGGGCTCAATCATGACAACTGCTCTCCCCAATCCCCATCACTTGTTTCACCCATCCCCCACCCACCTCCCCTCTGGTGACCATCAGTTTGTTCCCTATAGTTAAGAGTCTGTTTCTAGATTTATCTCTATCTCTCCATGAGTAGAGTTTATTGAACGCTGTCTGATTATTAGTGGAAGGGCAAGAGAGTGATCTACATCCCAGGCACCCACCCCCGCCCCTCCAGTGAGGGCCTGTGGAATCCGCCTCCATAATAACCAAGCATAACCAAGCAGGTGGCCCAAGTCCCCAAGCGGGTGCTACTAGGAGGGCCATGGCTCAGATGTGTTGACTCAGCAGCCACCAGCTCACGTTTCACCCTAGAGAGCAGAGTCAGGCCCAAAGAATAGTGATGGCCCCAAAAAGGGAAATGTTCTCATGTCTGAGGCCCTTCAGGGAGCTCTCTAAGACTGAAAAACAAAATCTAAACCCGTCTTTACAACCTTGTTTCAGATAAGTTTTTAAACTGTTATTATTTAAACTATTTTATCTTTCACACTGCCAATTTCATTTCAAAAAAATTGATATATTTTCAGTAAAGCTGGGGAAAAATTTTATGCTTATATAGTTACTATCGGGAAAACTAGAAATGCTTGATGAAGAAAATGGAAATCTGCACTCCTAAGGCTACCACTCAGGAGAAACTGCCAGTGATATTCCAGTGTTGTCTTTTCTTTCTTTCTTTCTTTCTTTCTTTTTTTTTTTTAATAAAGATTAACTTATTTATCAGAGAGAGAGAGAGATGAGAGGCTGGGGGGGTGGTAGGGAGAGAAGGGCAGAGGAGGAGAAGAATCCCAAGCAGAATCTCCACTGAGAACAGAGTGCACAGGGGGCTGGACCCCATGACCCTGAGATCACCACCAGAGCAGAAATCAAGAGTCGGATGCTTAAGTGACTGAGCCACCCAGGTGCCCCACGCCAGTGGCTTTTACCTAGGATATGCTTTCCTGCAATACAGGGCCTCTGAGTCCTCTGGCTTCCAGGAGTCACCCTTGGACTCTCTGTACATAACAGGGTCTGGTATAAGCTCACCTTACCTTTCAGTGGTCTCAGGAGAAGAGGGCTTGTCAGCTTGTGGGTCAGTCCCTGCTGCAGATGGCTCTTTTGGGGCTCAGGCCCGGTGGTCAGTCTACATGGCCTCTTCATCAGCCTCAGGACATTGTTTGCTGGTCACCTGCCACTGAGGCACTGCTCTCCTGCACTTTCTTCCCAAGAACCACTGATGTAAGTTGCTTGGCAACAGACATTTACCTAAAATTTGTGGGAAAACAAGCAAATGTGTGTGTGGGCAGGATGTGGCTGCAAGCTACCAGAGTTCACAGATGTCCCCCAGTACAGCAACCTTCCCCTGATCACATTCCTCCATGGCCCCAGCTTCCTACAGCAGCCATCCTTGCTTTCAGCCCCTCTTCCTCTCTCTTGTCCTAAGGCCCCTCCCCTAGGATCTGGAACCGGTGCAGAAAACAGAAAACACTGTGGTTCTTTTGTGCACAAAAGGGCTTTGTTTCTTGAAGCATAATTCTGTGAAATGTATCAATCTTAAGTGTGCCACTTGATTTTCACCTGTCCAACCAGCACCTGGATCAAAATCAAGACTCTTTCTGTCTCTCAGAAAGTTCCCTTGTACCCCTCTATCAATCTCAACCCCAATTCATTATTCTGATTCCAACACCATAGTTTAGTTTTTGCCTGTTTTTGAATTTAATATAAACAAGATCAAATAATACATGCTCTTTGGTGTCTGGCATCTTTCACCCAGCATTTTTTTTTTAAGTAATGTCTACTCCTGACAGGGTACTCGAACTCAGGGTTGCATTCCCCACTGACTGAGCCAGCCAGGCGCCCCTACTCAACATGTTTTTGACATTCGTCTATGTTGTTGCATCTATCAGGAATTCATTCTTCCATTGCCGGGTAGTATTCTATCACACAAGTATGTCACAATTTATTTATTAATTCTATTTTCTTTTTTTTTTTTTAAGATTTTATTCATTTGACAGAGAGAGAGAGAGATCACAAGTAGGCAGAGGCAGGCAGAGGGGGGGGGGAAGCAGGGAGCCCGATGCAGGGCTCCATCTCAGGACCCTGAGATCATGACCTGAGCCAAAGACAGACGCTTAACCATCTGAGCCACCCAGGCACCCCTATTAATTCTATTATCTATGGAATACTTGGGCTTCTCTGGGTTTGGGCTACTAGCAATAAGGCTGCTATGAGCATGCACGTATAAATCTTTTTGTGGAGCTAAGCCCTCATTTAAAAATTGCTGGACAATAAGGTATGTTTAGCTTTAAAAGAAGCTTCCAGGGATACCTGGCTAGTTTAGTCGGAAGAGCATGTGACTCTCAATCTCAAGGTCATGAGTTCAAGAGCCACACTGGGCATGCAGCCTACTAAAAAAGAAAAAAAAAAAAAAAAAAAAGCTTCCAAGCTATTCCCGAAAGAGGAATTTTACACTTCCACCAGCAGTGTACTGATAGTTTCAGGCGATTCAATTCAGTCCTCTACTTCACCAGCACTTAACATGGTCAGTTTCTTTTTTTTTCCCAGAGGAAGGAATTTAATACAGAAAATTCGTTCGTTTCCAAATTGGGCGGGGGTTGGGGGGATGCTGCAGGCAGCAGGAAGCCACCAAGGTAGTAAGTGAGCTCAAGAGCACACCCCCATAACCACAGTCAGAACTGAGAGGGCTGCTGCTGCCACCCCCAGCTCCACAGGGCTCTGTCTCCACGTCCAGTCAAGGCAGGAATACCAAGTCTGGCTGCTGAGATTTCTCTAGATCCTCACATATTTGTGTCCTTGCTGTCAACAGAGATGGTAGCAGGAAGATGGCTCCACCCCCAAATCCCTGGTGGGGCATCTAATTGTCAGACCACGTTTTTCTTTTTTTAAGATTTTATATATTTGACAGAGACAGCAAGAGGGGGAACACAAGCAGGGGTAGTGGGAGAGGGGGAGAAGGAGGCTTCCAGCCAAGCAGGGAGCCTGATGCGGGGCTCAATCCCAGGACCTGAGGATCATGACCTGAGCCAAAGGCAGAAGCTTAATGACTGAGCCACCCAGGCGCCCCTGTCAGACCTCATTTTAAATATGTATTTGTAGTTTCTGTGCACATTTACATATTTGTATATATTTAAAGATTTATTTATTTGAGAGAGAGCACATGAGGAAGAGGAGGGGCAAAGGGGGGAGAATCCCAAGCAGATTCCCCACTGAGCACAGAGCCCAACAGGGACTTGGTCCCATGACCCATGGGATCATGACCTGAGTCCAACCGATAGAGCCACCCAGGTACCCCTCATTTTATATTCTTAATTCTAGCTGCAAAGGAGTCTGGTAAGTATATTTTTCCACTTTCCAGCCTCTGCAGAATATAGGAAAGCACCCTATAAAGAGGTAGGGAGGGAGCTTGGCCTTTTCAGTTGGCTTTCGCTGAGTAAAAAAGCTATCCCAAAATGTAACTGACTAAAATAGCAACCATTTATTTAGCTCACAATTCTGCAGGATGGTGATTTGGTACTGAGCTCAGCTAGCCAGTTCTCAACTTAGTTGGGCTCACTCATGCCAGTTACCAAATCTGCTGGGAACTGACTGGCTGACGATGGGCTCAGCTGGGATGGATCACCTCTGTCTCATGTGGTCTCTCACTCTCCAGCAGGCTAACGTAGGCTTGTTTTCATGATGGCTGAGCAGCTTTCCAAGAGAGAGCTCAAAATGCTCTTCAGGCCTTGGCTCCAATATAGCACATCACTTCTGCCACATTCTGCTGGCCAAAGCTAGTCACTAAGACTGGCCCAGATTCGAGGGCAGTGGAAATAGATTTCCACCTCTTCCAGAAGGTGACGTAAAGCCACAGTGCAAGGATATGAATAAAGGGTGGAATGAGAAGTCAGGGCAATCTAGTCCCCAGCACCCACCATACCCCCCACTCCTGGAACCAGCCAGCAAATCCCAAGTACTCTCTTTCTTTTCAACAAGCAACAAGATTCCCTATATCTTACCTTTTCTGTTCCTTTATTTTGTCCTGTTTCCTGGGCTCCTTCATTTTCCAGATCTTCAAATTAATGTTTAATGTAAGCAATACCTTCACTTTCTGAGAACTCATTCTTATTCTCTGTTGTTCCATAAGGCAAACCTCAGGGATGTGAGATCTTCCTGAATCTAATTACTAAGAATAGTAGGGAGAGAGCTTAAAAAAATTTTTTTTCCTACTGTTCCAACTGCATGGTTTTCTCCTAAAGCCATTTTTTGCTGTTTTCTTAGTTTATTTTTTGCATTGGCAGTCTTTCCCCTAACGTCTGGTGAACATTTTTTTGCATTAAGAATGAGGCAATAGGGGGCACCTGGGTGGCTCAGTCATTGAGCGTCTGCCTTCGGCTCAGGTCAAGATCCCGGGGTGCCGGGATGGAGCCCCATATTGGGCTCCCTGCTCAGCGGGGAGCCTGCTTCTCCCTCTCCCACTTCCCCTGCTTGTGTTCCCTCTCTTGCTGTGTCTGTCAAATAAATAAAATCTAAAAAAAAAAAAAAAAAAAGAATGAGGAAATAGGTGTGCCTGGGTGGCTCAGTCGTTAGACATCTGCCTTCAGCTCAGGTCATGATCCCAGGGTCCTGGGACTGAGCCCCGTATCGAGCCCCACATTGGGCTCCCTTCTTGGCAGGAAGCCTGCTTCTCCCTCTCCTGCTCCCCTGGCTTGTGTTCCCTCTCTCATTGTGTCTTTGTCAAATAAATAAATAAAAACCTTTAAAAAAAAAAAAAAAAAAAAAAGAACGAGGCAATAAAAAGCCCTGGGGAAGGTCTGTGCACATCCACTGGTTGGCGTCTTTCTGGGGCAGGCAGATGGGGACTGACCTGTACCAGAGCCTCTGCAGGCCAGAACACAAGGCTCTCATGGATGGGGCTATTCTGTTTCTTTAGGGCATGGATGCTTAACCTGGTTCAGGCCAATGACTCCTTGGATTGTCTGGTCAAGTCTGGAAGCCAGAGTAGTATTTGAAAAGGCATTTAAAAATACATAGGATTACCCCAAAATCCCAGTTATACTGAAATAGTCATTGAGCTTTTTTTTTTTTTAAGATTTTATTTATTTATTTGACAGAGAGATCACAAGCAGGCAGAGAGGCAGGCAGAGAGAGAGGAGGAAGCAGTCTCCCCGAGAGAGCAGAGAGCCCGATGCGGGGCTCGATCCCAGGACTCTGAGATCATGACCTGAGCCGAAGGCAGTGGCTTAATCCATTGAGCCACCCAGGCACCCCAGTCATTGAGCTTTTAAACAACATTTCCTCTCTCTCTGTGAGCACCCAGGGCTCTGTTGGTGGGATTCTCTATCTCCTGACTGCTACACATATTTAAAGTGTACAATTTGATGAGATTTGACATATGTGTATACTTGCCAAACTATCATCACAATCAAGATAATGAACATATCCATCATCCTCCAATTCCAAAATTGCCTTTTGTAATTTTTTTTCCTTTTCAAATGTTGGCCACAAGTGGCAATGGTATTAGCAGAATCTGAGACTTGATCACTAAAAGAAATGATGGATATTTTCTTTTAAGATATTTTTAATCTATTTGACAGAGAGAGAGAGATATCACAAGCAGGCAGAGAGGCAGGCAGAGATAGAGAGAGGGGGAAGCAGGCTCCCCACTGAGCAGAGAGCCTGATGCGGGGCTCGATCCCAGGACTCCGGGATCATGACCCAAGCTGAAGGCAGAGGCCCTAACCCACTGAGCCACCCAGGCGCCCCAAGAAATGATGGATATTTTCATATAACGAAGAGATACCTCAGATCATCATTTATGCATAATGCTACTTAAATATCTCATTGAAACAAACACTTGTCAAAGAGCTTCAATGTCCTTTTACTTTTGATCAAGTAAGCACCCCAAGCAATGCCCAGAGAGTAAATGCTGTGCTGTCAACTCTAACTGAAGGCAGAGTCTTTGCTGGGCCAAAGATTTCTGGGCCCTAAGCTGCCATGGCCTGCATAATTGGGGTGGACATAGGTGTGACTCTGCCCACTGATAGACTTCATAAACCAGGCGATTATTTCAGGGAGCGGAGGAGTTCTACCACTCTTTTACTCACCTTTACCCAGGGCAGAAATCATAGGCCTATGCTAACATCCAATCATAATGCTAACCCCTTTCAGAACACTGAAGGGAAAAATCATTCCTTCCCTTTAACAGCAGTGTAGAAAGCAAGCCAGCCTAAGTTCTGAAACAGGGAGGCTGTAGCAGGAAACTTGCAAATGCTACACCACTGTTTCCTTTGCTCTAACAAACAGCTTATCATCTGGGAAAGGGACGTGTGGTCCTGGGCGTCCCATCCTTGAGAGATAACAGAGGCAGTGTGTTATTTCTATCTGCTTCCCAGGAGAAAGAAGTTGTTACATGATGATGTTGCAGAGTCCCTGACCCCAACGGTCTCCTATAAACCACCTACTCATTCATGCATTCATCCATTCATTTGTTTCA